GATTATGCACTGTAAGACAGAAGACACTCCTGCGATTATGCATATATCAACGAGGGACAAAATGACAAGGCACTAGCAAGAGGGTTCTGAGTCACGTACCGAAACTACGATATCCGGTTCCTCCGGATAATCATTTTTTAACGTTGTACAGGTGAAACTTGTTTAGGTCACATGACAATTGTTCCAAGCACGTCTTCCATAGCAATTGAATAAGAAAGTTTATTTTTTGCTTTCCGCCATCCTCGACGGCCAATTCGTCATCACCATTGATGTCGAACGTATCTTTCCATTGTAAAATGATTAAATTGAAGCTGATACCCGTTCGAGCCAGCTGTAGCCGGATGTGAATACTGCAACACAACTGGAGATGACTGAAATGAATGTGCTTTGACTTTGGTGCGTTTCCGAGAGAAGCGAGAATGAGAGAAAGAGGTGAACAATCAAGCAAATGGCGATAAACACAGAGAGGCAAAGGAGAGGAACTGATGGAGGGAAAAGCACACAGCAACGCCGATGAACAGACGGAAAACAAATAGACCACCAACATTCAAAGAAGAGGGCGTTCACTTTTCCACCCTCCCTGTTTCCTCATGACGTTTCAGCTTCAAAGGGTTGCTGTAATGATTTGACCGGAAGTCAGATAGGCGGCAAGCCATGCGGATTGGATTTCACGACATACCGTACCCCATGAACTCAACATACCTGGATCATCTGAGGGCGGTGAGGGCATGGACTGGGTCATTGCGGCTATCCGTGGCCAAAGGCGAAAGTCGCTTAAGGGAGATCAACGAAAATGCATCAGTCGATAATTAGTTGCCATTGTGATAAGCAAACTAAGTGCAGAAGGGTTGCTGTTATTGTAATGGGTAAGAAAGCTTAAGTAATGGTTAAGTAGTAGTGTCATTCATTTTAATGCGATGTGTAATGAAGCATATTTCATTACAATCGCCACCAGATGACGCTTCCTCACATTATCGCATATTATTCAATAAGTAGAAAATTTATTTTCGATCAATATATTAAATTAATTCTTGATCACATGTCGAGTCAACAGCTTTGAGGGTACAAAGCTGTCTTGTCACATTAATAACTGATCGCTGATTAATAATACCGAGTTTGAATGAGAGATTCGTCTAAGTATTTTAGCTTTGAGTTAACTGTTATGAAGTGCTCGTATATGCATGTAGGCGTGCTCACTAGTCTAAGAACAGTATAGTAGATACGCAGGCTAAATATTTTGTATCATATTCAACTTTGGCACTACTATGACCATATGGAGTAATGAACCATCATTTCACATTAT